CACCCACACACCCACACCCACACCCACACCCACACCCACCCACACCCACACACCCGTGTAAAAGTTTCATTGCAACGCTTCTCGAATTTATTGAATTTTTGGACAAGATGTAAAATCAATAAAATAAAAACTATTTTATTCGATAGAGTAATTGATGCTCTATCCAGCTATATGAAAATAAAAAATCTCTGATGCTTTATATAGATAAAGTAAACTGCACAAAACTATCAAAAATAACTGAATCAAGCTGTATAAATAATCATCCTACAAAAGGTTCTAAATTCGAGATTACAAATCAAATCCTCAGGTCCCTATATTTTTCCATCGAAAGCTCACCTACAATTTTCATCCACTGTGAAGGCTCTACTCTTTTGGCATCTTAGAGATCTTGGCAAGAACTAGAAGTGACATAGATGTAAGAATCGTTACGAAGTCCTTTTTTTATAGGAAATTAGGTAAAGGCTTCTGAATTTTTATATATGGAAAGAATATTCTCGAAAGTTTTATCAAATTCCCTTCAAAGAAGATGAATGTCTCCTTCATAGTTCTTCCTCCCACGTGAGAGAAGGATCTCTTCGACAACGACGATTGCTTGTCTTTTTTGTTTATTGTAGTAATTCCCAATATTCCAGTCGATGCTCGATGGGTACAGAATGGTATGACTGTTGCTGGAGGCCATGGATGGGGCACTTTCACTAATCAACTCAACTGCCCTCGTGATCTCTTCATTGATGATGATCAAACGATGGTCATTGTTGACTGGTGGAATCATCGCATCATCCAATGGACGATGGGTGATTCGAATGGACAAGTGATAGCTGGCGGCAATCGCCCAGGAAATCGATTGGATCAATTGGATCGACCAACCGATGTATTGATCGACAAAGAGACGGATAGTCTCATTATTTGTGATGGAGTGAATCGGCGAGTCGTACGATGGTCTCGTCGTAGTGGCACAACTCAAGGAGAAATCTTCATTGACAACATCAATTCTTATGGATTGGCCATGGATGATCCGAGATATCTCTACATCTCTGACTACGTGAACCATGAAGTACGACGATATCAAATAGGAGACAAGAATGGAACTGTCGTGGCTGGTGGCAATGGCAAAGGTTATGGTCTCGATCAATTCAACTGTCCGACCTACGTTTTTGTCGATCAACAACAGGCTATCTACGTGTCAGACAACAACAATCATCGTGTGATGAAATGGAGTAAAGGTGCAAAAGAAGGAATTATCATCGCTGGGGGTCAAGGCGAAGGGAATGCTCGGACACAATTGCGGTATCCTAACGGACTATTCGTCGATACATTGGGTACCCTCTATGTGACAGACACGTGGAATCATCGAGTGATGCGTTGGCCTAAGGGAGCGAAACAAGGCACTGTCGTTGTGGGTGGAAATGGTGATGGAAAAGGAGCAAATCAGCTCAACCGTCCCATTGGTTTGTCCTTTGATCCACATGGCAATCTCTATGTCGTCGATCATTACAATAATCGTGTTCAACGATTTTCTATCGAATAAACTCATTACGATGGATTTTTTCTCTTTGGGTATGGGTGTGGGTGTGTGGGTGTGGGGTGTGGAGTGTGGGGTGTGGGTGTGGGTGTGGGCGTGGGTGTGAGTGTGAGTGTGAGTGTGAGTGTGAGTGTGAGTGTGGGTGTGGTGTGGGTGTGGGTGTGTGGGTGTGGGGTATGGGTGTGAGTGTGGATGCGGGGTGTGAGTTAAGGTGGGGGTGAGTTCAGATAATACTGTTCCTTTTATTCACACCCACACCCTCATCGATTATAATGGTGGAATTTAATAAGTACTTTAGAAATGGATTCTTTACCATTACATGAAGATAGTGTAGTTAAGCTTATTAAATATTGGATATTAAAATGTGGTCTATTAATATGAAGTTCAAACGCATTGATTTTTAATTGATGTTCAGAATCAAATCAACTATTATTAGATGATTTATTTGTTGATGAATTCATTTTGAAATTAAATTGCTATTTAGATGATTGTTCATTACTTTGACGTAATGAATCAGTACTTGTTGTTATTACAACGAGCATTTTAACAGTATCTAATGCAGCTTAAGCAGATAAAAAACTTAATTTAGCTTGTGAATATCTTGTGAGTGAGGGTGTGACTATAACTGTGGCTGTGGATTTAGCTGCGGGTGAGGGTTTAAATTTAAACACCGGTACCCACAGTCTCGCGAAAAAAAGCTGGATAACAAACTACTCCAATACTTGAAAGAGTTTCATACTTCAAAATCGTTGTTCACAGCGCGTGTAACTCTCGTCAACAGTTGTCGTGGGTATGGCTACAAATAAGGACGAAAGTATATTGTGTGCACACAAATACCCACACCAACACCAACATCCTGATAGTTCTGACTGTACGATGCAGCTGTAGAATCAAATCCATAAACATTGCATCAGGGTCCGCACTCAGTCGCACAATTGAAAGCTACACCCAGACACTTGTGGCCGGTAGGAGCACTCAGGAAATCAATATCTCAAGAAGACATCAGAGCCATACATAGGCATCGGCACAACCTACGCCCTGGTATTCACCTATATAGGCAAAGCCCATACTAAGTGGCGCCGACAACCATCATGTACGGACTGATAACCCTCACCGTATAGAGCAGCTGGGAATCACATCCATAAGTACAGTACAGAGGTAGGCACTTAATCCTGTCCTTGAAGCTCACAACCAGTTAGTCGAAGTCTCTAACTAGATGATAACACCCACATTCTCAAAGTCGATGTTCATTCACACACTATTGCAGGAAATCGACATTCTCACAGACTGATAGTTCTCACTAAGCGGTGCAGCCATCGAAAAACACCCACCAACATGATACACATGCCGACATTCAATCTTATAGTTGAAACTCACGACTAGACATTCGCACCTTCATGGAACATGAAGACAATAGGAGTCTCAACCGAACCCACAATCTGGTAGCCACACCTGCCAGGATAACTGAAACTCAGGCACATACTATGACAAGTAAAACTCACACTAAGAAAATGGCGCCGACGGAGAGCATTGAAGAGCTGATAGGCCCGTATCGTATAGTCAACTTTAGAACGACATCCATAAGCAAAGTTGATAGATTGCAGCCGAGTCCCAAGCTAAAATTCGTACACAAACAATTTCATTTACATCCCTCAAACATACTCAGATTTTGAAACCTGCATATGCAGAGTAAGTAAGTAGGGGTACTCTATCGTTCGAGAGCACCTTATCGCTTCAACTCGTTGGTGAAAATTTTGTTGTCGACCATACATTTCTTTCTTCAGTGAGAAATATTTCTCTTTCCTTCGCTTATATTCATTTTTTAGTCAAGAGTGTTGACAGTACGCACACAAAAAAGCAGCTTTCTTTCTCTTTTTCTTGTAAATATTTGTTTGAGTTATTTTTTTTCAATGTCACTGAAAAGGCATGTATCATCAGCGCAAGGTTTTGTTTTGGGTGAGAGTTTGGGCATCGGGTTTTTCGTGCTCGTCAGTATGAAACAACCTGGTGATCAGGTTCACTGTGGGTGGGTGCAGATGAGAGATGGTTTAGGTGTAGGTTGACGAAGCTGGACATGAGTGTACAAATAGTTGGGCGAAGACTGGAGGTCTAAGCGATGCCGGATAGGTGAAACTGGGGTTTAGTTTGTGTTTGCGCATATATTGGGGAGCATTTGACTGAGAATGGATGCTGAGCGAGAGCTTAGATAGAATGTGGCGGAATGAAGTCTGTATTTGGTTGGTTATGGGTTGGCAAAGCTACGAATGTGGCAGACTATGGGTGGGCTAGGGCTCCCGTTCTTGGGTGTGAGTGTGGGTGTCTTGTCTTCGAATAATAGAACCCACACCCACATCCACACCCACACCCACACCCACACCCACACCCA